ACCAGTGGTCTCTCTAAAACTGATATACCTGCTGGAGCAGACCACCGCTTTCTGCCCAAATTCCTTAGTCCTCCCGGCACTCAGGAGACTATAACCTCCGGCTCTCCTCCCACCTCCCTGGTGACTCCTTCTTAGCCTCCTTTACTTCTGGACCCTAAATGCTGACCTGCCCCCAGGTTGTCTCCGGGCCTCTCTGTTCTCTCACATTCTCCTTTACTCACACAGCTTTAAATACCACCTTTGGGACAGTGACCCCCAAATCGTTATCAACTTCCTCTGAGCTCCAGGCTCACAGAGTTAAGCCACTGTCCTGGATTCACTGTGGTCAAAATAGAATTCTCGACTTGTCCCTTCTAAACCTGCTTCTCTCTAGTCTTCCTCATCCCAGCTGCTCAGGGGCCAACCAAGAGATGTATTTAGCCTTAGACAGTTTGGCTCAGTGGATAGAGTGTCAGCCTGTGGACTGAAGGGTGCCAGGTTCATTTCCGGTCAAAGGCACGTACCTCAATCACAGGCTTGATCCTCAGCCCCAATCAGGGAGTTTATGGGGGGCAACCAATTTATGAGAGAGCAACACATTAATGTTTCTCTTGTCACTCCCCCTCCCTCCCACCCTCTTTTAAAGTAAAAACTTATTTCTTTCTCTCACCCATTATAACCAAGCAGCTGTATTGCTTTATTTCCAAGAGACATCCCCAAACCAATCTTTCTCCCCCAACACGCTGCCTCCTTATCATTTCTTGTCTGGTCACTGCCCCAGGCTCCCTGTTAATTCCTTACTTCCAAACTCAATTTATAACCCACTAGAGGCCCGGTGGACTATATTTATTAGAAGGTATTCTTATTTATTTCAGAGAGGAAGGGAAAGGGAGAGAGATAGAAACATCAATGATGTGAGAGAATCATTGATCGGCTGCCTCCTGCATGCCCCACACTGGAGATGGAGTCCACAACTCATGCACATGCCCTGCCCAGGAATGGTACCATGACTTCCTGGTTCATAGGTGGGTTTGTGCATGGGAATGGGAAGGGGGGGTTGTTCTGTGCATGGGGGCGGGTAGGGGGGCGTGCACCCTCTCCAATCTGGGACCCTTTGGGTATGTCCAATAGCCGGTTTTAACTGGGCCCGATCTAATCTGGCAGTCAGACATCTCTCTCACAATCCAGGACTGCTGGCTCCTAGCCGCTCCCCTGTCTGTCTGCCTGCCTGCCTGATAGCCCTCTAACTTCTCCCCTGCCGGCCTGATTGATGCCTAACTTCTCCCCTGCCAGCCTGATCACTCCCAACTGCCCTCCCCTGCCAGAATGATGGACCCCAACTGCCCTCCCCTGCCAGACTGATGGCTCCCAATTGCCCTCCCATGCAGGCCTGGTCCCCACCAACTGCCCTTCCCTGCCGGCATGGTCCCCGTCCCCCCACATCTGCCCTCCCCTGCTGGCTTGTTCACCCCCAACTGTCCTTCCCTGCAGGCCATCCTGTGGAGGCCATCTTGTGACAACGTGAGGGCAGCCATCTTATGGCAGCGTCACCCGAGGGTGTTGTGCGAGGGCGTAAAGCCACCTAGGCTTTTATTATATGGGATTCTCCGCATGGCAGCCACAGGGACCTTGTCAAGGCTATGACATTGACCTGCTCAAAATGAACAGCTTCCTATTAAACTTGGATTCAAGGCCAAACTGCTCCCAGTCAGTGACCTACAAAATCCTACACCACATGGCTCTGATTGACCACTCCGATGTCTCCCTCCCCTTGCTCACTAAGCTCCAGTCACTCTGGCTTCCTTTCTGCTCCAAAGCATTCTTCAGTTGTTCCCCTGTGGGCATGTTGAAGGAGGAGTGAAACTGGAATGACAAAGGATGTAGACGGGGTGGTGGTGGGGTGAGGGTGGGATGGAGGGGGTGGGGGACGGACACTGTAGCCAATAGTACATACATGTCCACAGGAAAGGCCTGAATGGGCCTTGGCCAGAATGGGGAGCTGAGTCTTGCTCTACTCACCATGGCAAAGAGGTTGTCATAGCCTTTGACCTTGGTGGGCACCTTGGAGAACTTCTGGTCAAAAGCATCGGAAATGTTGTGGGCTGGGTCCGTGGAAATGATAAGAACACTCTCCCGTCCCTTGGATAGCTGGACTGCTAAGCTGCAGCTGGGCAAGGAAAAGGTCAAAAGGTAGGGAGAAAGGGGTCAGAGACTGCCCCCTAGGTCTGCATGGGGAGATGTGAGGCTCAGAAGCAGCAGCCCTGAGAATAGGGCTAAATGTGGGATCAATCCTCAATTTCTGAACAGGCACCTTCTCAGACCTTATCTAAGACCACGCTAGCTGGCTAGAGCGGCGAGGTTCAGTCTGGCCTGATGCCTGCTTCTTGTCTGCTGGCACAGAATGGCATGGTCCAGCTGCCCAGCCAGCATAACTACGGGGTCCCTTGCACCCCCTCAACGCTAAGCTAAGGGGTCCGTTGAACCTCCTACTACAATCGGAATGGTTCAGTCCCTGAATAATTTGCCCCAGGAACCCCTCCCTCTTCTACTGATCAGGTACCCTCTTTCCCTACGTTCACCACAACCCCAGCCCCACGTGGACACGGAATGGCAAGTTTCACCGGACTAGGGCCGTTTGTTCCGGTGCCCCTCCCCGGACTCTGAGCTCAGTGGGGTACGGCCCGGCAGACGGGGTCCTGTAAGTGCTCTCCCGGCCCCTGCGCGCTGGGTTCGGTGTGACTCGGCCCTGGAGCCCCTAACGGGAATGGTCCCACTCAGAGGGTGCCAGGCCTGCATTCAGGAGGCAGCTTCCACTTGCTCCCGGTAACTTCTGGAGAGGACCCCCCGGAGGACCCCGGCGCCCCTCCCGTGCCCGGCTCGGGGTGAGAGAACCGGCGCCTGGCCGTCCCCTTCGCCCAGTGGTTGGTACATCCCACCCGTCTGCCCGGCCCCCGCCGCGGCCTCCTCACCTGCAGGTGGTCTTGCCGACGCCGCCTTTGCCCCCGACGAAGATCCACTTCAGGCTGCGCTGCTCGATGATGTTGCTGAGCGTGGGTTCCAGCGGCTCCACATCAGGCGCATCCTCGAACTCCTCCGCTTCAGCCCCCCACCCGGCCACCCCTGCCGCCATCTTGAAACCGGCTCATGTGACCCGGCGGAGCGCACCACGCCACGCACCTGCGGGGGAAGTGCTCTGTCATGTCTCCGTCAGGACCAGCAGCCCCGAGAGAAGTCCCTCATACCCTGACATGTAGGCGCCATATTAGAAGCTCTGTGTCCAATGTCCTCCTTTTCCAAGGTTTACCCTGTGGACCTCTCCATTAGGTTTTCCCACAGATGCCCCTGCTTAATTAGCATATTGGTACGTCCCAGGGTACTCCCCTTCGCTGATTGGTCCCTGAGTCTTGCGGCGCTCTTCTCATTGGCTACTCTTTTCTGTTACTTTCACCAATCACTCGCAGGGGCCGGCCGTCTCCAACCTCTCCTTAGCAACCAGCCAAACACCCGGTCCGTACCCTTTCCCTGAGTTAGATCCCAGGTTCGCCCGCCCCGGGCTGACTCTTATCTATAGGCTCAACCTCATGCCGATCATTTCCCCCCAGTTCTCTAAACTGGGTCCCCAGATCGTCTCACACCTGGGCCCCTCACGCCAAGCAATCAGACACATTGATCAATTTGACTGAAGACGTGTCCTGAGGCTGCGAATGGGTTAGAGCACATGTGTCAAACACAAGGCCCGCGGGCCAAATCCGTCCCGCCAGGCCTTGCAATGTGGCCCGCACCTCGCTGTCATCACTGCACTCCGCTGCGTTTCCATCACAATGACAGTTTATGACTGTTCAGTAAACCATTCGGCCCGCGATTTAGGCTGGATTTTAGATTTTGGCCCCTTCTCTGATTGAGTTCGACACCCCTAGGTTAGAGAGAGAAGCCCTCCAGTTGTGTGCCAGGTCCGCAGATCCTCGCCCAGTGCCCCCAGAACCCCCATGCTGGGCAGATCAGAGCAGGGATCACACGTGTGCAACTGCGCCCCTTGTGTTTCCTATTCCCGAAAACCTTTTTGCAGTTTGCTCCCCATGGGAGGGGAGAGAGACCCCAGTTTAGCGAATTCCTAAACCTGTTGGATCTTGGCAATGGATAGGAATACAAGCTGTCCTTGGCAGACACGTGTGTGTGTGTGTTTAAGATATTTTATTCCTCCGGCCGGTGTGGTTCAGTTGGTTGAGACTCGTTCCATGTACTAAAAGGTCGCCGGTTCCATTCCCAGTCAGGGCACATGCCCAGGTAACGGGCTCTATCCCTGGTTGGATAGAGCTGGAGGCAGCTGATCATATCGATGTTTTTTCTCTCTCGCTTTTTCTCTAAAATTCATTTTAAAACATTTAACAATATTTTTATTGGTTTTTAGAGAGAGAGAGGGGAAGAAACATCGATGGCTTGCCTCCTGCAAGCCCCCTACCTACCGGAGGCTCCAGCCCCGCAATCCGGGTATGGGCCCTGACGGGAATGGACCTAACAACCTTTCCGGGGACGGGACTACGCTCAACCATCTGAGCCACACTGGCCAGGTCTTGGCAGACATTCTTGATAATAAGGACTCCCGTTTAGAAATCCCAAATTATACCGTGATTCTGAGATGGGAGCTCTATCCCAGGGACAGGTAATCAACCCAGCACAACCTCATTTCTAGTCCCGGATTTCCAGGCTAGATATGCTCTCTAGACTTAGATAGGGGCCTATGTTCCAAGGTGTCAGTTGAGCACCCAGCCTCAAAAGGGATCCCTCTCCTGAGATGATCTCTGGAGCCAAGAAGGGGATTCTAGCCACGGAAAGCTATACCCCTCAGTCTCAAGCGGAAACCTCATTCCTGAGAGCCGGCTACAACCATGACTCTGAAACACCCGCCCCAGCCTGAACGTACAAGCCCGCCGGCCAGTTCTTACCCCTCCTCCACTCCGCCCCCCAGGTTCCGCCCCCGCCGCTGACGCCTTTAAGGCCAGACCGCTCTTCCCGGCATGCACTGCGGGGACCCGACTAGCCCGGCGCCGAGCGCGGGCCGGAGCGGCCTTCCCGGGATCCTTCGCGCGGCACCTGGCGACAAAATGGCTGCCCGAGGGAGACGGGCGGAGCCTCCAGGCCGGGAGGCACCGGGCCCCGCGGCGGGCAGCGGCGGCGGGAGCCGATGGGCTGAGTCGGGGCCGGGGACATCGCCCGAGAGCGGGGACGAGGAGATGTCGGGCCCGGTGTCGGGCGGCGTGAACTTGTTCGCCAACGACGGCAGCTTCCTCGAACTGTTCAAGCGGAAGATGGAGGAGGAGCAGCGGCAGCGGCAGGAGGAGCCGCCTCCGGGCCCGCCGCGACCCGATCAGCCGGCCTCCGCCGCCGCCGGGGGTCCCGGGGATCCGAAGAGGAAGGGCGGCCCGGGCCCCACGCTCAGCTTCGTAAGGAGCCGCGGGGGCGGGGGAGGGCGCCAGGGCCTGCCTCGGCTGGGGGAATCGGGCCCGAGAAAGGGAATCGGCCCCGAGGAGGAGGGTTACATCCAGGTCTCTCGCTGAAGATGGGGAACCCGGATTCCCCACGAGAGAGGTTTGGGGGCGAAGGTAGAGCTTCCCCGTAGACTGCCCGTGAGAACCGGGAGCCGGGAGCGGGGAGACCAGGAGACCAGGATTCCTCTTCGAGGGGTGCCATAACTGTGGATACCAGGACCATCTCCCACTACTCGGAAAGGGAGCAAATGCAGATCTGGAGCCTAAGATGTGTGGAATAGAAACTCAAACCCTTACTGTGTGACCTTAGGAAATTTGCTTAGTTTCCCCGAGTTTCATTCGCCCAGTGTCCGTTTATTGAGCACCTTACCTCGTGATGGGCATTGTGCTAGGTGTTGGAACATGACAGACAAGATCGCTGCCTTCCTGGAGCGTCTGCGATGACCTGCCTTTATTGTTTGTGTTTGGAAAATGGACATCTCTTCTGATGTGATGAGAATTCAATGAGGCCATCCGGGAAAAGCATCAAGGGGCTTGTCCGATAGGAAGGGCTAAACCAGTTGTTCTCTTTTTACTTTTTAAAATAAAAAATAAAAAAAGATGTTTTTTTAAATTAGGAAAGGAGAGAGTTAGACAGACAGTGATTTGTTCCACTTATTTATGCATTCATTGGTTGATTCTTGTATGTGCCCTGACCCAAGATCAAACCCTAACCAATGAGTGACCCAGCCATGCTTAGCCCTCAATTGGAGATGATCTTCCTATTTAGGGAAGTGTGGAGACATTTTTGGTGTCAGAACTGGGGCAGAGGGAGCTGCTGACATCTGAGTCGAGACCAGGGACAGGGATGTTTCTCAACCTTGTTCAGACCCCGTCCTTGAACCCTCACTCCAAATTCCCCAGCAAAGAATGACCCAGCTCCAAAAGTCGTTAGTGCGAGATGAAGAAACTTTGGGTTAATTAAATGGCATCTCTATTGATGGTTCATTCTGAGCTTGCTTTGTCTCCGGTGTTGAGATCAAATCCCTATGGTGTGGGGAAAAAATACCAACACTTGAGAATAACGGACTGGGGGTCAAGTTTCTTCATCCACCCCACATGGGTGTGAGACTAGTCCCAGCTATGCAGGTCACTTAATGCCTGGCTGATGGGCGGAGAGATAGGATAATGGCTTTCAAGCATGTTGCTGTCTGGGGCACAGGGAGTATCCGTCAATGGGAGAAGATGGAGGACCAGGACAAGAGTCCGGAGTGAGGCTTCTGTTTGAGGAAGGGGAAATGTCAGGAGCTGGGTTGGTGTGAGAATTGCGGGAGCTGAGTGGGAGGAGCAGTCCCTGCCTTTGCATTCATTCATTGAGGGGCTGGTTCAGAGCACCCTCAAAGAGGCCGGGCAGGATGAGGTTCAGGGGAGGCAGTGTTGCTTGGTGGTTAGGATGCTGCTGTGTGGCTTGGACCCGCTGGACCCTAAGTCGGTCCCATTGTTTGCTGCCAACATGACCAAGGGTACAGGCCTCTCCTTCTCCAAAGTGTGTCCTTGTGTATAAAATTGGTGTGGCGGTAACTGTGAAAGTGACAGGAGGTGATACATGGCACAGGGCTTGGCATGCAGTGAGTGCTTAATGAAAGGAGCTGTTGTTGCCTGCGCGGTCACTGCTAGGGGAGGGTGAGGCTTCAGCATGGAGAGTGAGGACAGAGCCTGTCCCCACTGGGGTGGGGGTTCTTCTCGCCCCCTGGGATGGCATCCTGGGGGCCCAGGACAGGCGCTAAGAGTCGCGTGTGCTCCTTTCTGATTGCTGCGCAGGTTGGCCGGCTGGCGGAGCTGGGCGCGGCGTCAGGACGGGCCACCGGGCCGGGCTAGGAAGGTGTAGTGGGCCTCAGCGCCGCCAAGGGCGGGCCCGACTCCTGTAACCGTTGCAGTCTTCTGTCCCTTCACCCAGGTGGGCAAGCGCAGAGGCGGGAACAAACTAGCCCTCAAGACGGGAATAGTAGCCAAGAAGCAGAAGACGGAGGATGAGGTGAGCAGGCCGGGTTTGGGGGCGACCCATGCGGCCTTTCCTTAACAGCCTCAGCCCTGGCTAACCAGCCCTGTCCCTCCCTATCTAGCATCTGGACCTTGGATGTGGGGGTGCTGGGTGGGGGAGGAGGGCTTTCAACAAGGTCTCCAGATAACGTTTGACTCTGAATGTCTCTACCTCAAATCCAGGACCTCTGGGTGGTGACGCTGGGGTGGGTCAGCTGTCTCAGGACAGTCCTGACCCGTTCCTGGCCTCCCTGGTGTCCCCTTCCCAACTCCTGTGTGCCCCTGCCCCCTCCCCACAGGTATTAACAAGTAAAGGTGATGCGTGGGCCAAGTACATGGCAGAAGTGAAAAAGTACAAAGCCCACCAGTGCGGCGATGACGATAAAACTCGGCCCCTGGTGAAATGACCCCCTTCCCGTCTGCCTGGGACTCTGCGATGTACATAACTATTTAATGTGGCAGCAGCGGCGGCGGCAGCCCTCCCCCCAGGGACTTAAACACAGAAGGAAACCAAGATGCTTCCCGCAGCCGCGGGAGACCCTCCGGACTCTTTTTTACCTGAGCACTTGCCTCGTAAGACTTCATAGAACAGTGGTTTACTGTCCCCTGCCCCACCTCCTGGCTCTCTGGCTCTCTCTGTCTTCCTTTTCTCACCCTCTCCTTCCCCTTCCCCTAGCCATCACTTCTGGGAAGTAAAGAACTTGACTTAGTGCCGGAGCTGTGTGCTTGGTTTGCCTTCTTTGCTCCTTCCCCTGCTACACGTTACAGAGTCTGGGTCTAGCCTGGCAAGAGGGACTTTGGGGTCTGGGGAGGATGGGGGTAAGCCCCGTCAGTGGGCCTGGACGCTTCCCTAGACCCCTTTCCCCCCAGCCCTGACTGTATCCCCCACAGTGCTCCTGATGTCCAGTCCCATATGGCTGGGCCAAAGCTGTTACTCAGCAGACATTGAGGACCTATTCTGGGCCTGGGCTGGGGCCACAGCAATGGACAGAGCAGATGATGCTTGCCCTGCCCTCATGGGAGGAAACAGACAAAAAGGGGGAGCCATTTGGGGAGGTGCCTGTGACCTACGGGTAGAGGCTGGGGGAGGGTGTCTATTTTCATTGACATCTGATCAGGGACCTGAGCGAGGGAGGAAGTGAGTTCTAGGTGGAGGGATCAGCCAGTAAAGAGTGTAGAGACAGGCCAGAGAGTGCCTGGCCCTTATGGGGAGCTTTGAAGAGGCCCATATGACAAGCCAGGTGAGTGAGAAAGGTAAGTGGATTACATAGAGAGCCTTGTGTGTGAGGGTGGAAACTTGGGGCTTCATTCTTAGTGAGAAGAAGCCTTGGGGGGTTTTGAGCCAAGGAGTAACACTGTTTTATATTAACAGGAGACCCCGCCCGGGTGTATATATGATCAGGAAAAGGAGTACAGAGTAAAGGAGCACATGGGCTTGTTTGTCCCATCTTGCAGGCATGACTATTGACATGTTAGGGGACAGGGTGTCCTAAAGGAAGTCTTATTTCCCCAGTGCCCCTCTAATGCCTGCTGGCCCCTTTGTTAATACTGGTGGGTGATTTTTATGATGCCCTTGCCTTCAAACCTCACAGACCTGGGGTTCCCCAACATGGCCCAGATACTGAGCAGCTCAGCACTCCAGTCTATCTATCCATGGCCAGGTTCCCGTAACCCTTCCATCAGGGGAAGACCAGGACTTGGAGGATCATGGTGGTCACTGTGAGGCAGAGGGAGGAAGGACATAGCTGTGGTCTTTCCTGGGAGAGGGCAGAGGTGGCACTTGCTGGCTTCAGACTGCCAGAATCCAGCCTGTGGGAGTTGAGGTGGAGCACCAGAACAGACAAAAGTCCCTGTCCTAGTGGAGCTAACATTCTAGTTGGGGAAAACTGATGAGAAACAAACATAGGACACATCAGATAGTAACACATTTGGGGTGGGATATGAAAGGGGGACTGATAAGAGTGGCAGAGATGGCGATTTCAAGTAGGTCATGGGTGGCCTGCCTCCCCGAGGTGGCGGCATTTGTCCCGAGTTCTGAAGAAGGTGGGACTGACCGTGGAGTCTTCAGAAGTATTCCAGGTGGAAGGAATGCAGGTACAAAAACTCAAGCTGAAACCACCCCTGACTTGAAGGGAGCAAGCAAACTTGGACCAGGAGACATGCCCTCTCTCATTTTCTGCTAACACACAGTAAAGTCATTTTTTATTTTGTTTATAATCCTCACCTAAGGATATTTTGCCATTGATTTGTAGAGTGGGAGGGGGACATGAAGTGAGTGCCTCCTGTAGGTGACTGATCAGGGCCTGGTCTGGGAAGGAGCCTGCAATTGAGCTACATGCCCTTGACCAAAACCGAACCCAGACCCTTCAGTCTACAGGCCAACACTCTATCCCCTGAGCCAAACCATGTGGGGCTGGTTTATTTTTTACATTGACACACTGATTTCCTTCCTACTTTGGGATGCTGAGCTGACCTAGGTGTGACTAGAGCAGGGAGGGGACATAGCCCATGGAGCCACCCCTACAGCCATGGGCATTGGTTGGATCTTTAAAAAGAAACACGTGGGAGAAGTAGGTCGCCTCTGCAGCAGCTCTATTCCCAAGTGTCCAGCGGCAGGAGAAGCTGATGGAGTCCTGGCACCTCCCTTACCGGTGCTCACCAGCTCTGACCTGGGGAAAGTCTGAAGGGGGAGGACAATAAAATTGCAGGTTATGGTGAGTCAAATAGTTTGGCTTCAAACTACTCTGATGCCTGTTAGCTGTTTGATCTTGGGTAAGTCACAGCCTTTCTGTGGTTCAGGTTTTTCATCAATAAAATAGGTGTAAAATGCAGAACCATCTCTAGAGTCAGGTTCTAATGTTCGTGTAGTCAATGATAACCCTGACGTTTCCAGCAGCTGTCATTGCTTTCCTGGGTGAAGCAACTGGCTTGTGTCTGGTGGTCGTGTTTGAGAAATGCTGACCTTTATTTTTATTTTTAATATATTTTATTGATTTTTTTACAGAGAGGAAGGGAGAGAGGTAGAGAGCTAGAAACATCGATGAGAGAGAAACATCGATCAGCTGCCTCCTGCACACTCCCCACTGGGGATGTGTCTGCAACCAAGGTACATGCCCTTGACCGGAATCAAACCTGGGACCCTTAAGTCTGCAGGCTGACGCTTTATCCACTGAGCCAAACCGGTTTTGGCGAAATGCTGATCTTTAAATGCTGGCTCTGATGAGATGCACAGGCAGAGAGGCTATTGTAAAGTGATAGGCGTTTGCCATCTCAGATTCATGGTTGGACATCCGCTCCTTGAGTGTCTTTTTGCCCTAGAGCTGCTAGATGAAGTAAGTTTGTCATGCACATGGCTGTGGTGAGAATTACACTTAGAAACTGCCTGACTGTAGTAGGTGCTTAAGAAATGGGGTGGGTAGTCCCAGTTCAGCACCCAAATCCACCAGTTGGGGAGAGGAAACTTACCAGTACTGCGGACCATACAGGTAGCAGGGGCCACTTTATTCTGCCCCAATCCCCTCTCCCCCGAGGCTTGTGCAGAGTCTCTGGAAACTACGTGTTAAAAAGGAGGTGAAACCCTAACAAAATTCCTGCATCTCTTAACTCGCTCCCCACCTGACCCTTTTTCTGGGGCAATCCCCAACCCCGAGCAGAAAATTCCACCGGTCGTATTCTCTCCGGTAACCTATACCCACCGTGCCAGCCCCTCAACCTCACTCTTCTGTTTAATGCCCATCTCCAGGGCTCCACAGACCCCCAGGTGTTGAGTCTCAGCTGGAGCCACCAGCCGCGGGTGCCGGGAGGGAATCGCAGTTCCAGAAACTTGCCGGCGCTGTGGGAGGCCACTGAGCACGCGTAGACAGCGGCTCCTCGCACGTGTCTCTCAGCCGGGTATCGGTCCAGCTTAGCCCGCTGGGGTGGGAGCCCAGGCTGCTTCCCCAAGCCAGTGTTTATTTTATTAATTTATTCGTTAAAATTTTTATATCCTTATTTTTTTCATATCCCTGTAAAAACTGTTACACTGTAATTTAATCTGGGGAGTATATAATGTAGCAGAGTAGCAGAGGCGTCTAAGGGAACTCAGCCTGTCTCCGGCACTCCCTTTGTCTGGCTTTCTTCCCCCCCCCCCCCCCCGCTCTGGCCCCCCCCGCCCGGGGTATAAAGTCCACCCCCGGCTGTTCCCTCTCTAGTCTACTCTCAACTTGAGCACATTGTCCTCCTACCAAGCACCCTGTGGATGGGGAGAGGGAGGCACAGTTACATTCTTAGAGGAGGGGGTGACAGGCACAGCAGCTGGCTCTGGCGGAGCGGCCCCGGTGCCTACCACACAGCCAAGGTCCCCGGGTTCCACCAAACTTAGCCGGAGCGTCCACGTGAGAGCCGCTGAGGAGAACGAGACGATGGGAGGACCGGCCGGCCAGAGAGGCCCAGAGAGGCGCTCGATCTTTGGTCACGTGACCCGGCTCGGCGGGGCCTGGGTCTCCCGGGTGCCAGGCCACGTGCGACAGCTGCTCCTCCCGATTGGCTTGGTTGGGCCGATTTGAACGGCTTACGGGAGCCGCCGCGGCTCATGTAGGGCTGCGATTGTGTATGTACGAGTGTGTGGTTCTTTTTTTTTTTTTTTTTTTTTTTTTTTTAATTCCCTCGCTTTGGTTCCCTCCTTCCGCGCGAGTCTCACGAGAAGCCACAGCACAAGGCGCCGCCGCCGCTGCCTCGGGCCGGGTAAGTGGGCCTCACCCGGAACCGGACCTGCTCGGCTCCAGCCGCTGCTGACCCGCGTCAGGGTCTGTGCCTGCGCCGCGTGCTGCCCGGGCGTCAGCCCCGCGCCTGACCCGTAGAGGCCGCGAACCTTGGGGTCCTCGGGGTGGGCCCGATTCTCGAGGCAGCAGGAACGGGTTGTGGGGGGAGGGGGAAACCGAGCCGGGCTCAGGGGGTGGGGCCTCGGAGCCCGGTGCGCTCTCGGTGCCGAGAATCCGGCCAGTGGGGCGCCTAGGGTCGGGCTGGAGATCCTCTGATTGGGGGACGCCGCGAGGATCGGGTGTGTGCGGGGTGGGGGTGCTCTTTCGGTGGGGCTTGGTTGGGTCTGGTTGGGAGAGGCCGCATGGAAAAGCTGGGGGCTCTTTTTGGGCTCTGATACGGGGGAGCGGGCGTGTCGTCAGACTTCGGCCTGGAGGGCTTTTCTGGGTCTGACTACCAGGCGTCTCTAGGATCCGTTGCGGGTAGTGCCCCGGGGGTTGTTCGGCCAGGCCTAAGTGGGGGGAATCCGCGGGGATCCGACCGACCAAGGGGGTTTCCGGCTCGAGATGGTGTGGGGGCTTGTCCAAACTTGATTGGGGGAAGCCGCAGAGATCCGTCGGCAGGAGATACTGCTGACTGGGGCGGAGGGCGGGAATGGGGGAAAGGCTTGGCCAGACTCGACTGGGGGAAAGGGACAGGAACCTGCCTGCTTCTGTCGCAGGGTGGGCATACTTGACTGGCTCTCTTTCGGAGAGGCAAGCGGGCCTGGTTAAGGGGAATCGCAGGTCCTTCTAGGCCTGAAACGGGAGTCTGGTATCCGGCTGAGCTTGGATTAGGGGAGGCGGCAGGGATCGTGAGTATCGGAGCGCCTGGGGATGGTGCACCCAGGGAGGCTCAGGGACCAGACCTCAGCAGAGGAGGCGTCAGGATGTGGCGGAGCTTGAGGTCTCAATTTCGGGAGAAGGGAGCTCTGCTTGCAC